CGCTATGAGTCGCCTGCGACTTGATGGCACTTAACAACAACAACCACCACACAAATGATTTTCCCCATAGTCATAATACAAAATTATATAGTATGCTGCATAATTGTATATAAAAATGTACATAACAGTGTATTTAATATAGTATTTTACTATAATAATATAGTATTATACTATCGTAATACAGTATAACACTGCTCTTGGTACCAGCATTCAGAAAATCAAAAGATGAATTGCAGCGGGAAAGTCTGCTATTAAGGACCTCTGCAGAATGCCAAAGAACATTGATGCCATTTTAGAGATTAAGGTGCACCTGATCCAGGCCATGGTCTTTTCAATTGCTTGCTTCATATCAGAGAGCTGGACAATGAATAAGGATGACATAAGAAGAATAGATGCCTTTGAGTTGTGATGCTGGAGAAGAGTGTTGAGCAGACACCATGTACTGCCAAGAGAACAAACAGATCTGTCTTGGAGAGGGTGAAACCAGATTGTTCGTTCAAGGCAAGGATTTTGAAGCTCTGTCTCACATACTCTGATCATGTTACCAGGAGGAATCAGTCCTTGGAGAAGAAGATCATGCTTTCATGCTTGGAAGGGTGGAGGGAGGGTCAGAGCAGAAGATCCTGGATGAGATGGATGAACACTGTGACTGTCAATGGAGTCAGGCGTGTCACACATAGTGAAGTTGGGTCCGGATAGGGCAAGTTCAGAGTCGTTGTTCATAGGATCACTATAAGTCATAGTTGACTCAGTGGTACACAACAACAACAACAACACCAAACAACAACATATATGTTGTGTTGTTGTTATTTGCTGTCGTGTCACTTGCGGCTCATAGCTGTATACCCTTCTCTATTCTGTGCCAATCTTACTGACTCTAACACACTTTTCTCCATTACCCCAGTCACTGACTCAATCCATCCCATCGATGGTCTTCCTCTCTTGAGCTGTCCTTCCATCCTTCCAAGCATGACTTCCATCTCCAAGGACTGGTCCCGTTTTGCACATGTCCAAAATATGTCAGGCAAAGCTTCAGAATCCTTGCCTCCAAGAAGCAGCTTGGCTTCACCCTCTTTAGGATGAACTTGTTTATTTTCCTAGAAGTTCATGGTATGTATATTCAATACTCTTCTCCAGCACCATAGCTCAAAAGTGTCACTGCTCCTTCTATCATCCCCAGCCATAGTCCAGCTTTCTGATGTGTAGCAAGTAATTGCAAAGACAATGACCTGGATCAGGTGCATCTTAGTTTCCAGACTGACATTGTTGCTTTTCAGCACTTTGGAGAGGTCTCTGACAGCAGAATTTCCCCAATGCAATTCATCTTTTAATTTCCTGGCTACTGGTACTAAAAGTCTTGATTGTAGAGCCAAGCAAACTGAAGCTGTCAACAGTCTCAATCTTTTCAATATCCATCATGATGCTGCCAATCAGCCCAGTGATGAGAATCTTTGCTTTCTTAATGTTGGGCTTCAATCAATATTGAAAGCTGCAGTCCTTGACCTTCTGCAGCAAGCACTTCAGGTCCTCCTCAGTTGTAGCAAGTAGAGTTGTGTTATGTGCTTAATGCAGGTTGTTGATGAGTCTTCCTCCAATCCTGATGGCACATTTCTCCTCATGGATCCCAGCCTCCCGAATAATTTGTTCTGCATATAGGTTGAAAAGTATGGAGATAGCACACCCTTGCATACACCCTTCCCAATTTTGAACCATGCAGTGTTTCCTTGCTGTTTTCTGATGACTGCCTTGTGGTTCAAGTATGGGTTTCACATAAGCACAATCAAGTGTTCTGGGATTCCCATTCTTCTCAGACTCAGCCACAGTTCGTTGTGATCCACACAGTTACATGCTTTTGCCTAGTCGATGAAACACAGACATTCTCTGCTTTCATCCAAGATCCATCAAACTTTAGTTATAATATCCCTAGTACCAATGGCCTCTTCTAAACCTAGCCTGCACATCTGGAATTTCTTTGCTGATGTCCTGTTCCAGTCATTTGTGGATAATTTTCAGCAGTATCTTGCTTGCATGTCATATTAATAATATTGTTAGATAATTTCCACACTCTGTTGAGTCACCTCTCTTTTGAATGGAAACAAATATAGATCTCTTTCAGGCAGTTGGCCAGGTGGTTTTTCTCCAGATTTCTTGACACAGCTTGGTGAGCGCATCCACTTCTCCACTTCAGTGACTCTTTGCTGAAATATGTCAGTTGGTATGCTGTCAATTCCTGGGGCCTTGTTTTTTGCCAATTGTTTCAGAGCAGTTTGAACTTTATCTCCACAGGTGTCTTGCTCATATATTGTTTCATGAAATTCTTCTGTGCCTTCTGTTGCTTTTGGTACAATGACTCTGTATACTCTTTCCATTTTCTTTTAATGCTTCCTGGATCATTTAATATTCTGCCCATGTACAATATAACATATAGTATATTAATAGTCTTAAGCTGTATTTCAAGTGCGTCACCTTTTCTGTTGTCTTCCTTATTAGTTTTCCAGTTTTCACATGCATGTAAGACCATTGAAAATACTGTGATCAGGAGTACTTTAGTCTTTAAGATGCCATTTTTACTCCTTAACACTTTAAACAGTCTTTGGAGTAGATTTGCTCCATGCAAAACATTGTTTGATTTCTTGACTGCTACATCATGAATAAGGATGACAGAAAAAGAAATGATTCTGTTGAACTGTGATGTTGACAAGGACTGAATGTACCATGGATGGTCAAAAGAACAAGTAGGTTTTGGTGAAGGTGCAGCTAGAGGGCTCCTTGGAGGCAGAGATGATAGAGCTTCATCTCACGTGCATTGGACGTGTTTTTAGGAGAAGCTCTCCCCTGGAGAGGGACATCATGTTTGGGAAGGTGGAGGGACGGTGAAGGAGAGGAGGACCTTCAGTCAGTTGGATTGACACTGTGACTGCAGTAATGGGCTCGACTGTATCTGACATTGTGAGGCACAGGATAGGACAGGATTCAGATCTTCTGTTTGTTCTCAGGGTTGCTATGAGTCATACTCAACTTGGCAGCACCTACAACAACAACTCCCTGGGTACTTTTCATGGACCCAAGTGAAAGGAAATCCTTGATGATTCCAATCTTTTTCCTCTTTAATGTTGGCTATTAGGTGAATTGTGGTCACAAATATTTGCTTTGAGGTGTAATTAATGCTGAAGACTGTAGGATTTCCTCTTCATGAGTATGTACTTCAAGGGCTCTTTTAGAAGGTAAGGTTATCTTCATGTCATAGGTTGTTAATGAGGTTTTTTTTCCAGTTTTGATGTGTTCTTCATGTAGTTTTCCATATAGTCCCGTTTCTTGGGATTATTTGCTCAGTGTGTAGACTGAAGGAGTATGGTGAAAAAAAGATATGATGCTGATAGACATCTTTTATTTTTTAAGCCATGTGATAATACACTTGCTCTATTTGAAAAATTTGAAATTTTATATATCTATATATACATATAGATAAAAATGAATATAAACCATTCTAGAATTCATCTATGATGTGATGTGATTTCAATTAAGAGTAACTCTGATAATCACCAACTTGGTTAAAGCAAAGGAAATGTTCCATCCTACAATATCTTCACTGAGTCGTCAATTATTTCCAGCAAAGAAGGAAGGCTGGCTTCTGTTGGGGACAAATCTGCCAACTGCATGAATCAGTCATAATTTTTCAGCAGTGCATCCGCTTGGACTTTTGTTCCTGGCCATCTCCCTCTGCCATCGTCCTTGATGACATCAGCATCCACCTGTGTGACCCATCCAATACTTGGCCACTCAGTTCTTGATTACCTGTCACCCAGCCAGTGATTCCCCCCCCCCCCATATTTCCACTGAGCCACCTGTTCCCATGGTTACAACCTCACTCAGGAGCCGCACTGGCTCTGGTTTAAAGCATCCGCTACTACCACCACTTACTGTCCCTTCAATTCACTCAGGAGAATAGGCCGATTGCAACAGGGTTTTGACCTCATCAAGACCTCTCCTTCTTTGATTCCATCCTTTTCCTTTCAAACTCCCCATCCTCCTTCATTTTTCTCCAGTCCTTATTTCCTTTTAGTAGCCAGCTCACATTCCATGATCCGCCATTATAATGCTCCCTTGCAAACACACCATTACCTTGTTCTTCTCTGTCTGGCTTGCCTGGCATAACGCTAACATGGGTTGAAGGGAACTGTGTCTCATTTTCTCAAGCAATTGAAAAGTATCAGAGAAAAAAACCATACCGTTGAGCAGAGTGATTTAATTTTAGATTGGTGGCCATCAGCCGCAGGAGGTCACCCAACACTGCCAGGTGATTTAGCCGCTTTCCCGGTCCTGTGTTTCCCCCATCACTTATGGGTTTTTGTTGTATCTGAATATGACTCATACAGCTTAGTAAGTAATTTATCCTAGATGGCTTAATCTTGGACCTACATCCCTATTCTACTCTGTGTTGTAGACCGGGGGTTGACTCACAGGTCAAATCCAAGTCACCACCTGTTTTTATGTGGCCTGTGAGCTAAGAGCAAATTTTTAAGGTTTTTAGATGTTGCTGTTATTAGGTGTCATCAAGTTGTAGGACTCATTGTGGCCCTTTGAACAACAGATCTGAGGCCTGTCCCATTCCGTGCCATCCTCTCTTGCACAGCTTCTCCATCTTCCCAAGCATGATATCCCTGTTGGAAGAACAGCCTCTTCTCGCAGCGTACCCAAAGCTTGTGAGGTGAAGTTTTAACATCTTTACCTCCAAGGAGCCCTCTGAAGGATATTTTTTTTTCTAAGTTTGTTTGTTGGTTTTTTATTTTTTATTTTTTTTTTTTTGCCTGGGAACATGAGATTTATGTTTGCTTGGAGGTAGGAAAAGAGTGATTGAGGGAAGCGGGAAGTCCCTTAGCCCTTATTCTTTTTAACATCATGCAACGTCTCTAAGCCTTTGCCTTTCCAGGTAGAGTGGGGAAGTGGGGGAGTAGATGGCCTTAGTTTCAGCTACAAGCCAAGAAGCCTCCACCAATGACTCAAAGACCCACTCCACCTCCGACCGTCTTCCTGGGCAGCTCAGTGGGCTCCCGGCCTCGATTCTGCCTCTTCTCCACAAACACCCTTTGTCCTGACACGGTCACCAGCAGTGTGTGTTCTCCAAAGACCAAAGACAGACATATAAAGGGTATGTTCATGCTGTGATGCAGGTGAAAACCACAAGCTGTGCTGACCAGCTCAGAGATGTCACTGCCTGCCTGTTTGTCATTCTCTAGATCCCCAGATGATGCCAAAACTGCACCTTCGCTCATCACCAAATAGCCGAACTGATCTGGGATTCGCTCTAGCCTCTTGGTCCTTGTAGAAGTGATCACAGGTATAAGGTGCTGCTGGGGCGTTTCCTGTCAAACAGGCGGCCTCCGATGCTTGTCCCAGATCAACCAAGAAGTACTCTGGCTGCACTTTCCCCAAGACATATCTGTTTGCTTTTTTGCCATCCATGGGATATTATTAAATCGTGGGGTGTGTGTGTGTGTGGGGGGAAGCAAAATAAGAATATTGTAATTTACTACCTAATTTTGGAGGGACTGGAGAGCATTATGCTAAGTGAACTGTTAGTCCCATAACAACTAATACTGTTTAAGACCATTACTGTAGAGCGAGTACGCCGATCCAAGGCAGGGTGGGGGGAGCAGCGGGGTGAGGATGGGCAGAGGGTGGAGGCTTAATGATAGGGCCACACAATTTGATGGGAAGGGGAAAAGATCTGGTGTGAAAAACAATATATATGAACTTTGTAAGTAAACCAGTTGTTCTGTGCCATCAAGTCTCCTGTGACTCATAGTGACCCTGTGTACAACAGCCCTAAACCCTGCTCTGTCCTGTTCCTGTCTCACTGTCTCGACTCTCCTGCCCCCGTTTCCCCAGGCACTGAATCAATCCATCTCATGTAGGGTCTTCCTCTCTTTCTCTCTAAGGACTGGCCCATTCTTGCAACATGCCCAAAGTATGTCAGATGGAGCTTCAGAATCCTTGTCTCCAAGGAGCAACTCAGTTTCACCCTTCCTAGGATGAACCTGTTTGTTCTCCTAGCAGTCCATGGTATAGTCAATACTCTTCTCCAGCACTACATCTCAGGCATCAATTCTCCTTCTATCATCCCTAGTCATTGTCCAGCTTTTTTGTTTTTTAAATTGAGATTTTAATTAAAGTTTATAGAGAACTTTAATTTCTATTCATTCATGGTTACATATTTTCCTCCCTGCCCCTGCCCCAGTTCACTTTTCTCTTGGAAAAAAAAAATAAATTCTTTCATTGTTGTACAATCCCTCCCTGGCCCAGTCCACTTTACTATGCAGCTCTTATTCTGTACTGTTGTCAAGCAAATAATACCTAATCATACATTTCTTGTAGGCAGTTCTATTCCTCATCAGTTTCAATGCAAGGTACATTATTTATCCCCACTTTTCTTCGATTTCTCCAAACCCCATGTCAGTCCTGTTTTATAACAGCGGCTTTATGCAGTATTTGTCCTTTTGTGACTCAGCATAATGTCCTCCAGGGCCACTCATTTAATATAATATTTTATGAATTCCTATTTTTCAGTGCTACATAATATTCTATTGTGTGAACATATCACAGCTTTTCTATCCATTCATTTGTTGATGGGCATTTGGGTTGTTTCCATCTCTTTGCTCTTGTGAACAATGCAATGATAAACATGGATGTGCAATTATCCAACTTTCTGATGCATAGCAAGTAACTGCAAAGATTATGGCCTGGATTAGGAACACCTTAGTCTCCAGACTGACATGTTGCTCTTCAGTACTTTGGAGAGGTCTCTGATAGCAGACTTTCCCAGTGCAATTTGTCTTTTAATTTCCTGACTGCTGCTTCCAAGAGTGTTGATTGTGGAGCCAAGCAAACTAAACTGTTAATAATCTCAATGTCTTCATCATCTATCATGATGCTGCCAATCAGCCCAGTGGTGGGATTTTTGTTTTCTTGATGTTGAACTTCAATCTATATTGAAGGCTACAGTCCTTGACCTTCCACAGCAAGCATTTCAGGTCCTTCTCAATTTCAGCTGTTAATAATCTCAGTGTGTTCACCATATATTCTTCCAATTGGCTCAGTGGTGAGAATTTTTGTTTTCTTGATGTTGAGCTTCAATCCATATTGAAAGCTGCAGTCCTTGACCTTCTGTAGCAAGCATTTTAGGTCCTTCTCAGTTTCAGCAAGCAGTATGGTGTCATCTGCATAATGCAGATTGTTGATGAATTTTCCTCCAGTCCTGACACTACATTGTCCTCATAGAGCCCAGCCTCCTGGATAATCTGTTTTGCATATAGATTGAAAAGCTATGGAGATAGGACACATCCCTGGCATGCACCCTTCCCAGTTTTCAACCATGCAGTGTTTCCTTACTCTGTTCTGATGACTGCCTCCTGGTCCAAGTATAGGTTTCACATAAGCATAATCAAGAATTTTGAGATCCCCATTCTTCTCAGATTGAGCCACTGTTTTTTGTGGTCCACACAGTCAAATGCCTTTGCATAGTCAATGAAACAGATAGACATTCCTCTGGTATTCCCTGCTTTGAGGCAAGATCTAATGAGCAAAGACCAGATGAGCTGTGGGAGGATATCAAGAATATTATCCAGTCTACAACCAGAAGAAGATAAAATAGACCTTCTAAGAATCAAATCCCTATGCACATCCAAAAACTTCTCCAACACGGTCAAAAGGGAAGCCACAGACTGGGAGAAAGTATTTGGAAATGACAT